TAAATTCAGGTGGGATATATTCAAGGTCATATTTTGGCTCTCGTGGACTTGTTTTCATTTTCTTCAGCTTCAGTTTGAATTTGCATATGAGTAATTGATGATTTGTTTCAGATTGCCCCTTGCCTTTTTATGACTGATGATATGGAGATTTTCCATCATCTCTTTCCGCAGATGTAGTCAATTTGAAGTAGAGGCAGGACTAAAACCAAATAATCTGGTTCCAGATTCCTTTCTTGTAACCCCACTGCTTCTGCCTCCCTAAAATGAAAATCCCAAAAAATTTAGACAGGTGTGTAAACCAACTGTTGTTGTTAAGTGCCATAAAGTTGGTTCCAACTCATAGTTCTGAGAAGTGCCTGGTGGGTTTGAACTTCAGTTAGGAGTCCAGTGCTTCTTACATCACCACACTAGGACTCTGTAAACCAACTAGTCCCATCCAAATTTAAAATTTAACTCTCCTTTGTTGTATGTGTTTTTTCAATTGACATACTCGTATAATAAGGGATCATAGATAGGAAGCTGGGAAAAGGTATAGATAAGATGGAAAGGGAGCCACACAGACACTAAATAGAACCTGTCACTGGGTATACTGTTGTTGTTAATTGCCATCAAGTCAACTCCAGCTCAGAGTCATCTCCTATAGGGTTTCCAACAAACAGCTGGTGAGTTGGAACTGCCAACCTTGTGATTCAAACCGACCTAGCAGTCCCATGCTTTATCCTACAACACCTTATCTCCTCTTAAGTCAAACTTAACCAGCTCTTTCCTAAAGTAAAATAAGGTCACTCCTTATATCGTAAAATAATTTTATGACTAAAAACCAAACTTCGAGCACTATCTTTAAGGAAGGTCTAAGACATTGGGATATAATGTTGTTGGTAGTTGTCAAGTTGATTTTGACTCCTGGTGGCCACCACGTGTGCAGAGTAGAATGGCTCCATACGACTTTCAAGGCTGTGACCTTTTGGAAGTTGATCACCAGGGCTATCTGGCGAGGCACCTCTGGGTGGCAGAGGGATCAATAAGTGTTCACTAAATTAAACTGAACTTGAATTAAACTAAGACACACATGGTTAAAAAAAAAGTCTTGTCCATTTAAATTTTGTTGTTTTTGTTTAGCTCTCCTACTATGACTACTACTATTAAATTTGGAACCAAACACCTTTCTTTAGACAATAAGTACTTGTTGTTGTTGTTGTCAGGTGCCATCGAGTCGGAACCGACTCATAGCGACCCCATACACAGCAGAACGAAACAATGTCGGATCCTGGGCCAACCTCACTACTGCTGCCACGCTTGATGCCATCAATGATGCCACCTGGCTGATCCATCTTGTTGGGGGTCTTCCTCTTTTTCTCTGACCCTCCACCTTACCCAGCATGACATCCTTCTCCAGCGACTGTTCCCTCCGGACAATGTGTTCAAAGTAGGAGAGACGAAGCTTAGCCATCTTGGCCTCCAAGGAGCACTCTGGCTGCACTTCTTCCAAAACAGATCTATTGGTTCTTTTGGCAGTCCATGGCACTTTTAGTATTCTCCTCCAACATCACAATTCAAAGGCATCAATTCTTCTACGATCTTCCTTATTCACTGTCCAGCTTTCGCATCCATATGAGGTTATTGAAAATACCATGGCTTGAGTCAGGTGCACCTTAGGCCTCAAGCTGACATCTCTGCTCTTCAAATAAGTACTTAGCACAGGTTATGTAACATGTTCAAAAACACCCAGAAGAAATGAGAAATCTCACAGTAGTAGAACTTCTCAAGACTCTTACGGTATTTCATAGACAAAAGTCAATACAGCGTTCTACTGGCTTTCAATTATTTTTCACAACAGCAAACCCAAGTTTTTAAATGAAACCTCATCAGAATCCCAAATTGTATGCAAAGCTAATAAAAACATATTGGGATACTACTACCCAAACGTGAGCACCTGGGAGCCTTGAAAAGACCCTAGGGATTCCAAGAATTCAATTTTAAAACCAGCACTGTCCCAGCTTCACCTAGAACACAGAATCCCACCCACAGCCCATTTCCAAATACGGACGACTGTGTGCAAAGTGATTCCAGATAACAACCTAGCTTTGTAGTCTATGGATTGGAGAACAGTGTTTCACTAACAGTACTTTCTCTTTATTATGAGCACTCTTCATTTCCTTTATTACTAGAAATATCACTAGCCTAAGAATTTCCAAGGAAGGAATAGGTTGACACTCAAAGTAACTAAAATAATGAAAAGAAACTTAACATTATAGCAAACCAGGGTCAAACTCAATCTCTTATTCTAATGATTAAACAATATAGAATTTGGGCAAGGTACAATTTATGCAGTATTGGCATAATTTGTATAAAAATCTGCATAAAAGTCTCCTTCTACATTATGAAAAATTGTCTGTAATCTCACCTGGGGAGAGAAGCAGACACAGGAATATAAGGTCGCTGCCAACCGGAAAATATCTTCTGCATAGCCAATCGTTTTCACACAAGAATCTCAATTCATAAAGTAGAAAAAAATTAAACAAAAAATCAGTTACAAATTTCAAATAGAAAAAACACAGAGGCAATAAAATTCTCCAAAAATGACATTAAAATACCTGTAAAAATATCAAGTTAATGAAGTACTTTAAATACTTTTATATGAAAACTAATCTGAGTGGATTCTAATTCAATTAATTAAAAAAGATATATTATTACTATTACACAATCTGCATACCAGTTTTGTCTAAAAAGGAACTGAAGAGGTTTATATTATTAAAACACATATAAAATATGGTAGTTGAAATAAAAATAATTAACTATCTAGTGAGAAACTTCTTGTTGTTAAGTGCCCTCCTATCAGTTCTGACTCGCAGCTGTATAGGGTTTCTGAGGAGGAGCTGGTGGGTTTGAACTGCCAACCTTGTGGTTAGTAGTCCAGTAATAATATTACAGCACCATATCACGGCTCCCAGAAACTGCTAGAAGAAAAAAGAAACTGTACCATCACTTGGTACAAGTTATTTCCTGCAATTGACCAGCCATGCAGTAAGTACCTGAAGAGCATGGCCAAACACGAAGACTGTGGGATCCAGTCATTCTCATTGGTCAAAAAAGCAGAGGCTGCAGAATTTCTACAGAAAAGGTGCATGGGTGACAGAATTTAGAAGAAAGGTTGAAGATGTGTTTGGAGTACTGTACAGATGATTGAGAAAAAAATCAACTGATGATTTTTAAAAACTGGGTAGAGGGGTGGTTTTAGGAAGAAATTAGCAAGGATCTTGAAATACAGTATAATGAAGAACAAAATGGACATCTTCAACTGAGATTTTTGCAGAGCATGTAGAAACTTACTCAAATAGAATTCTATTACATCTAGCCTGTATTAAAACACAGAAATCAAATCAGTGGCTGCAGAGGTGACTGTGGTTCCTGGAGACGGCAGGTGTTTCTGGGTGGAACGGTGATCAGGCTTTTCAATGGCTGGGATCTGTTGAAACTGATCACCAGGGCTTTCTTCCAGGATGCCTTTGAGTGGACTCAAACTCCCAACTTTTTTGTTAGTAGCTAGGTAATTGATTATTTGCACTACACAGGATTTCAAGTGTGATTCAATATCACATAATAATGAATAAATACATGCTGTTGTTGTGAAGTGCCATCAAGGCAATTTTTACTCATAGCGACCCTGATTCCAAGGAGCAGCTGGTGGGTTTGAACCACCAACCTTGCGGTTCCCAGTAAACATTTATTTGAAAATAGATTAACCTGAGGCCATTATTTGCATTGATTTTCAATTAACAGACACAATAATTTTCAATACTTGAAAAATCCTACAACAGAAAACCTGTATACTAGAAAGAGACCATTATTAAACCTTCAGAGCAGTTGGGTCCACTAAGTGATAGCTTTTCATTTGATGCCCAGCCAACCGCTCACTTATTCCAGTAAACCAGCAGCTAAGTAGAGCTTCAGTCCTCTATTCAAAACTCTGAATCAGAATAAAACCCAACAACTACAAAGCCTAAGGGCCTGTTTGAACTGGTTCCCGGCTACTTCTCTGACCCCATTTATTGCCATAATCCCAAATTCTACAACCACCACTATCAGTGCATTCCAGCTAGCCATGTTTCCTTGCTAGTCCTACAACAAACCAAGGCCCCTTGCTTCAGGGCTTTTGCATTTCCTGCTCCCTCAGTCTTGAAATTTCTTTCTCTCATTGAACCTAAAAATAAGCGTATTGTTGCTGTTGCTGCTGTTCAGTGCCAGCGAGCAGTCGGTTCCAACTCAGTGATCCTGTATAGCGTTTTAGAGGAGCACTTGGTGAATATGAACTGCTGAACTTGTGGTTAACAGTCCAGTGCTTATCCTACAGCACCATGCCAGGACTTCAAAGCACATTGTGTCAGATAAACTTATTTTAATTTTCAGAAAGAAACAAATACTCACCATGAAGAGCCACTTTTCTTACATATGCTTGAACACACTGGCTTTCTTTGAAGTTTTCCAAAGGAAAGACCAAACCTTTGTTTCTCTTTACATTGATCACAGGTTCTATTGCAAGAAGAAGAGTTAAATCCATCTCTGCTTTCTTTGACTCTGGATAATTCTGTTTCTAAAGGAAACAGACATGTTCCACAATTTATTTAGTGAGCCAAAGACATCTTGACAAAATAAAAACAAATGAATGGTTTTGCATATATTACCTGGAGAAAATAAGTAAGTTGTGAAGCTGCTGATTCAAATAAACTCCATTCCTCATAATTAAAAGCTAATTTTATAAATTTCACAGCAGCATCCAGAGAAATGGTATTTTTTCTTTCTATTACATGTTTCAGAAGAGATGATTTTGAAAATCCAAGCATTCCATCTGTGCCAGAATTGGAAACTAGAAAGTTGAGAAAGAAGTTTTGGTATCATTCATATAAAGAAGTATTTACTACATATGAGCTTGTCAGATACTGAGAAGCACTAGGAAAACATGGAAAAGGAAACAGACACAATCCCTGCGTTTGCAGGGTTTACACTGTAGTGTAGGAAATGAAAAGGACACTGAGGAAATGCAGGGTGATGTGGGGGCACGTAGGAAAGGGATCCAACACAAGCTGGGCAGGAGAGTGACCAGGGTAGGTTATGCAGAGGAAGGAGCACTGGCCCTCAGAGAACTTGCAGGATACTCTACCGTTTCTTGGTACATATAAAGTATCTCTTAACCGAAAAAAAAAAAGAAGAAGAAGAAGAGTTTGATCCTATTAGAAATCCCAGATATTGAGATATATTTCAATCCCTTAAAGAAGAAAACTGCTTACTGATGATTGGAATGTGAAGGATGGAAACAAAAAAGAAGAATTAGTAGTTGGAAGACATGTTCTTGGTGGCAGAAAGGACATGAGAGACTTCACGACAATTTGCAAGACCTACAACGTAGTCACTGTAACATCTTTTTTGAACACCATAAAAAGTGACCACACACATCTACCTCATCAGCTGGAATGCACAGTCATCAAAGTGACTATAGCTGTGGAAAGAGACTACGGAGAAGCTCAGCATCATCAGTTAGAAAATGGCCAGGGCCTAGCAGTAGAATATTCAATTGTTCATAATGCAAGTTCAAGTTGAAACGGAATTAAATCAAAACGAGTCCATGAGAGCCAAAATACGATTTTGAATATATCCCACCTGAATTTAGAGACTATGTTAAGAATAGACTAGATGCATTGAACACAAATGCCAGCAGACCAGACAAGACTATCATATATGGAAGCAAAAGGTCATTAGACAGAAAGACCAAAATGGAGGTCAAAAACAACTCTGAAACTTTCAGTTCAATTTAAAGTACTTAAAGCAAATGGAAGAAATGATGATATAAATGAGTTGAACTGAAGAGTTCAAAGGGCAGCTTGAGAAGGCAAACTAGAATATTATCATGAAATATGCGATGACCTGGAGTTAGAAAAGCACAGGGAAGAACGCAATCAGTATTTCTCAAGCTGAAAAAACTGAAGAAAAAAGTCAAGACTTGATTTGTAATATAAAGGATTCTATGGGCAAAATACTGAATGATGCAGAGGAAGCATCAAAAGGAAATGCAAGGAACACACAGAGTCATTGCACCAAAATGAACTGGTCAATGTTTAGCAAAAGCAACAAGTAGTATATGATCAACAACTGATGGTATTTAAGGAAGAAATTCAGGCTGCACTGTTGTTGTTGTTGTTAAGTGCCATCGAGTTGATTACAACTCACAGCAACCCTGTCCTAGGGTTTCCAAGAAGCAGCTGGTGGGTTTGAACTGCCAACCTTATTGATAGCAGTCTAATGCATATCCTTCAGTGCCACTCCAGGACTTCACAAGCTGCTCTGAAAGCACTGGCAAAAAACAAGGATCTTGGAATGGAGAGAAGTTATGGTGTGGGTCTAGGCAAATAAGGTGCTTGTGGTCCACCAATAGTTACTAACAACTTGCAAATAATGCAAATAAGGTACATGGCACCCTTTTGGGAATGGCACCATGAAAATAAGGTGCATGGAATACTAACAAGTGAAGTAGTCAGTTTTGTCATCCTGCTAAGCTTAAAGTGAGCCATCCCTGAGATAGAACAAGTGGACCTCACTACCACCAAGGAAGAAAATCAGGAATGGAGCATGTCCTCTGGAGCCGAGACCCTTGTGCTGAGACCCTCCTAGACCCAGGAGACAGAGAAGGAGCTGTAATAACACTAGAGATGGCACAAGATTTTAGAAGCAGCAACAGACAAATGGTAGCAACAGAACCAGAGATGGATGCAAGACAGCATGGTGGGTTTCCAGGACCACTAACCAAGGCAGCTAGAGTGGGTACAGCGCAAGAATTGAGTGCTTTGGGGCAGGATGCTTACTGGCATGTTTTTCTGGCACTTTTTGGCAGAGCTAAAGATATTTGCAATGCTTGCTCAAGCCAGGTAGAGGCCAAGGAACTGAGAAGCCAAAAGGTTGAAGGCAAGAAAAAGGCCAGCCTGAGGGCACAGTTGAGAAGAAGTGATCCTGATTGAAGAACTTTGTCCTGAGTCATTCCTGACTTGGAATTGTAACCTGTTACTTCCCTGTTGTTGCTGTTAAGTGCTGTCGAGTCAGTGTCAACCCAAAGTGACCCTGTATACGGTTTCTGAGGAGAGGCTGGTGAGCTTGAACAGCTAACTTTGAAGCTCAAACTGACTTTGTAGTCCAGTGCATTGACTCACAACACCACACCAGGACTCCATTACTTCCCTAGTAAACCCCAAAATTGTGAATTTATTCTGTGAGTTTGTGTGGCCACTACAATGAATTATCAAACCCAGGAGAGAAGTAAAAAGTATCATGGGAGGGAATGGTTGGGATGAGAATTGCTAAAAAGGTTAAAGAAAGGAGATATATGTCTGACCTTCATCTCATAGGAATCCACCTTAGGTTGTTAATCTTGATTCCCCTCCTACCTTGTGAAATTAGAGATAAGATGCCCCTGCCATTGTGCTGTTTGTGCACTCACTTAATAAAATAGTGCCACTATAGGACAAGCACTGAACTGCTCATTGCAAAGTCAGCAATTCAGACTCACCAGCTGCTCTCAGAAACCCTAAACAGGTTGCTAGGAGTCAGAATAGACTCAACAGCACACAACAACAACTACAAAACATAACATATTCTACACTTCAGCTGTCCTACAGCAACAGAAATGCTTAGCATAAGATGTTTTACACTTCTACCTCAATAATTTATATAACTATCAAGAAAATTAGTAGCAATTGAGAAGATGTAACCACATAATTTATAACCAACCTATAGAAAACCATGTCCCAACAATAAAAATAGTCATTTCAAATACAATGCAGATGAATCCACTACTCGTATGTCACTTGTTGTACTATGGTGATTTGTGTGTTGCTGGAAGCTATGCCACAGATGTGCCACAGATATTTAAATATCTGCAGGGCCGCCTATGGTAGACAGAGATTGGCAGAGCTTCCAGACTAAAAGAGCCTGGCTGGCTGGCTGTGTGCAATGGAGTCGGTTCCGACTCATAGTGACCCTGTACAGGGTTTCCAAGGCTGTAAATCTTTATGGGAGCAGAACACCTCATCTTTCTCCCACGGAGCAGCTGGTAGTTTCAAATTTGCTAGGAAGAAGGAAAAGCTAACCACTTCTGAATGGTTACTTACTGAAAGCCATAAGAATAGCAGAACATACCAAAAAGAAGCTGACTTATGCTTTATTGAGTATGCAGAGGCTTTCGACTGTGTAGATCATGACAAGCTATGGAAAACATTGTGAAGAATGGCTATTCCAGAACAGTTAACTGTGCTCATGAAGAACCTAAACAGACCAAGAGGCAGATGTTAGAACAGAACAAGGGGATACTGAACAGTTTAAAATCAGGAGAAATGTGTGCCATGGTTGTATCCTTTCACCATATTTACTCAATCTGTATGCTGAGCAAATAATCTGAGAACCTGGATTACATGAAGAAGAACATGACATCGTAATTGTAAGAAGACTCATTAACAACATGTGATATGCACATGATACAACCTTGCTTTCTCAAAGTGAAAAGACTTAAAATACTTACTGAGAAAGATCAAAGACTACAATCTTCAATATCCTCACAACTGGACCAATAAACATCATCACGATAAATGGAAAAAAGATTGAAATTGTCAAAGACTTCCTTTTGCTTGGATCCACAATCTACACTCAAGGAAGTCACAGTCAAGAAATTAAACGATATATTGCATTAGGCAAATCTGCTGCACAAGACGTAATAAAAGTGTTCAAGAACAAAAATTTTAGTTTAAGGACTAAGTTGCACCTGAGCCGAGTCTCCTATTTTCAACAGCCTCCTATGCATGTGAAAGTAGGACAGTGAATAAGCAAGACCATTGAAGAATTGACGCATTTGAGTTATGGTGCTGGAGAAGAATATCAAAAGTATCATAGTCTGCCAGGACAAACATATATCTTGGAAGAAGTACAGAATGTTTCTTAGATGCAAGATGGCAAGATTTTGTCTCTCCTACTTTGGACATGTTGTCAGGAGGGACTAGTCCTTGGAGAATGACATCATTCTTGGTAAAATGGAGAATCAGCAGAAAAGGAAATGAATTGGCACAGTGGCAGCAGCAGTGGGCTCAAACATAACAACAATTGTGAGGATGGTGTAGGACAATGCAATGTTTCATTCTGTTGTGCACAGTGTCTCTATGAGTCAGAATAAACTCAACGGCACCTAACAACAGCAACAACATAGATTATTTACCAAAACTGACCATAAGTCACGCCATAAACAAGACCCAACAAATTTCAAAGATTTCAAATAATATAGAGCATGCTCACTGATCACAATATAATTAAGCTACAAAGCCATAACAAAAAGATAATTTTTAAATCTACAACCCAAATTTCAAAGATGAAATCACAATGGAAGTTAGAAAATATTGTGAATCTAATGATAATGAAGTATAATATGCCAAAACTTCATGCACAAGCGAAAGCTTTACTCAGAACGATATGTCTTAATATGCATACATTAAAAATTTTAAAAGTCTCAAAATCGAGTGAAAAAATCGTTAAAAATAAGTATACTAATTCCAAGAAAATAGTAAAGAACAGAAATTAATAGTACAGAAAACAGTGTTCAACGAAGAGGGTCCATAAAAACAAACACTGTATCTCTGGAAAGACTAATGAAAGTGGTGAATATCTGGTAAAATTGTTGAAGTAAGAAAAGGACAACTAACCAATGTCAGAAAAATTTCAAGAAAAACAAAATTTAATAAAATTGACAGAAGATTAAAACCAAGGGAAAAAGGGAAAAGCAGACCTGAATAGTCTCATATCAGTGGAATAAATTAAATCCACAATTTAAAACTTTTCCACAAATAAAACCCCAGGTCCAGATGGCTTCAACAATAAATTCAGCCATATAGGAAGAAACTGCACCAGTCTGACACAAATTCTTAGATATCATATAAAAGGGCACACTTCTCAATTCCTTTTATGAAGTCAGGTTGACCTTGGGAGCAAAACCAGGAAAGGGAATTATGAGAAAGGGATATCTTTCTGATGGATACAGATACAAAACTATTAAACATTGTTGTTGTTATTGTAATGTGCCGTGGAGTTGGTTCTGACTCATAGCGACCCGGTACAGGGTTTTCGAGGCTGTAAATCTTTGTTGTTGTTGTTGTTGTCAGGTGCCATCAAGTCGGAACCGACTCATAGCAACCCCATGCACACCAGAACGAAACAATGCTCAATCCTGGGCCAACCTCACCACCGCTGCCACCCCCGAGTCCATCAATGATGCCACCTGGCCGATCCATCTCGTTGGAGGTCTTCCTCTTTTTCTCTGACCCTCAACCCTACCCAGCATGACATCCTTCTCCAACGATTGTTTCCTCCGGACTACATGTCCAAAGTAGGAGAGACGAAGCTTAGCCATCCTGGCCTCCAAGGAGCACTCTGGCTGCACTTCTTCCAAAACAGATCTTTACGGGAGCAGAAAGCCTCATCTTTCTCCCACGGAACAGCTGGTAGTTTCGAACTGCTGACCCTGAGGTTCGCAGCCCGATTCATAACCACTACGCTACCAGAGCTCCTTAGCAAACAACATCTAGTAATATATCAAAAGGATAAACCTTACCTCCAAATTAGATTTATTCCTAGATATGCAATCAATGTAATTCACCACATAAACAGAAATAAAAAAGAAGAGATTTATGATCAATGGAATAAATCTCAATAAATCCAAAAAAGATTTTCAATGAAATTTAAGAATGGCTCAGGATTAAAAGCAAACAGAAACAAAGCAAACAGACAAAATGTTTAGCAAACCAGGAACAAAAGAAAATTTTCTTAATCCAAGATAAGGTATCCATAAAAATTCTTCAACAAATATCAAAAATAATGGTGAAATGTTGGAAGCTTTCCATTTGAAATCTTAAATGAGATAATAATCTTTGTTATCACCACTTACATTCCACATTTTTAGTTAAAGATCCCAGCCATTGCAATAAGGCAAGAAATAAAGGAAGAGTAAGTATGAGCAAGAAAGGAAAACACTGATCATTGTTCACAGACAAAATGATTATATGCATAAAATAAATCAAAAAAAATATTACTGAATAAAGATTTGAATTATCAGCTGAGTTTGGCAGATTTGCTTAATTCAAAGTCAACATAAATTGAATAAGCTAATGATTTCTTGTGTAAAATAAACTGCCATATTACAATTTTTGCTACTCATGCTTTATGACAAAATATTATCTCAACTCCTTATTTACCTATTAAAAGTTCTTTTCCTGCTATAAACAGTTCTGTGGTGACATCACGAAGCTCCACCTCATCTGTAGCAATAGGTCCCGTGTGTAGTAATCGCCTGTTTGGATCAGTAAGCGCTTCCAAAACAGCCAGAAACCGGGAGGCAGCACTATCGAACATCTCCTCCAACAATCGTTCAGTGATAGTACGTGGCCATGGCAACTAAATTTAAATATATAAATATATGTTGGTGGTGGTGTCATTGAGTCGGTTCCCACCCATAGCGACCCTGTATAGGGTTTCCAAGGAGTGACTGGTGAGCTTGAACCACTGACCTTGCAGTTCAAACGGCTTTGCAGTCTGACACATTAAACCCACAGCACCATACCAGGATGCCATATAAACATATACAGTCCACTTTTTTTTTTTTTTAAGTTTTACGATATTTAATATTGTAAGGCAAAGAAAAGAATGAGATGCTGGTTTTTTTGGTTTTCATTGTTTGAAGTGTCTCTCCAGACTCCCTTCAAAATGTATATCATGTTGCCATTACATAAAGACTTTGATACTTCTTATATGCTCTGTGAGCAAGGCAGCATAAAATGGCAGTTACGGTCTTTGTATTAGGCCAGCATCAATCTCCACACGCCTGATGGTACCTGAATTACACAGCCTCAAAGAATCCTGGTGTGGCACTGTGGGTTAATGCACTGGACTGCAAGGTTGGCTTGAACCACAATGTCTGCAGTTCAAACCCGTATGTTTGGATGTGAGGGCCTGTACAGGTTTCCGAGAAGCAATTGGTGAGCTTCAACTGCCAACCTTGCATTTCAAACTGACCTTGCAGTCCTGCACATTAACCCACAGTGCCACACAAGGATCACTGAGTCAGAATCGATTCAATGGCATACAACAACAAGGAGCTAATAGTCAAACTTCGATTAAATAAGGTGCTCTAGTAATGCAGTGGTTACGAATCGGGCTGCTAACCTCATGGTCAGCAGTTCAAAACGATCAGCTGTTCCTGTAAAGATTTACAGCCTCAGAAACCTTGTGCAGGGTCACTATGAGTCGGAACTTAACAACACCACGGCACTTAACAACAACAACAGTGGTTTTTTTACATTCCAATGTCAAATATCCGGATATTCAGTGAGTCTGGATGGGGTGTTTTTAACAAGCATTGAGGAAGAATCTAATGCAGAAGGCCCTCACACCCAAACATGGAACACTAGAGTTACGAATTTTTAAAATATATTTGAATAAGTTCATCAAAATCTATAGTATAAATAAGCTTGCAGTAGTTAATTCTGAAGAAGAGTTGACCCACTGGAATACTAATAATCAAATCTTAGATAGTTATAGCCTTACGTGAGTTTCTAGTCAAGAATGATTTCACCATCTGTAAATGGCTTGCCTCCATCCTAAATTCCTTATGACACATGCCCAAATGACCTCTTTTCTATACTTAGATTGCCAGTAACTAAGGGTTGTTGTTAAGTGCCGCTGAGTCCATTCTGACTCATAGTAAACCTGTATAGGGTTTCCGAGGAATAACTGATAGGTTTGAACTTCTAACTTTGTGGTTAGCAGTCCAGTGCTTATCCTATACAAGTAACTAAGAGTTGTTGGTGTTGTTGTTAAGTGCCATTGAGTCAGCTATGACTCATAGTGCCCCTGCATAGGGTATCCAAGGAGCAGCTGGTGGATATGAGCTGCCGACCATGTCGTTAGCAGTCCAGGACTTTAGTTACTAAGAGAGGTGGCTCTATTTACTTTTCTAGAATTCATGCCCAACTAGAAGATACCCACCATACTCCCATGATTCCCGTGCTCCTTTTCTCTTATTTGGTCAAATGGGAAAGAAAGAAAAACAAACTCAGGGATAAAGCTGATTTGCACATTTCCTCCCAAAGCAGCAGCTTCCTTACTTATTAGCTTCAAGCTTCAGGTTAACTGAAATGTTAAAAACCACAATAAAACTTGAATTTCATACACTTCTCCTTTCTTTCCTTATAAACACAGTTAATGGATTCTTTGAAATTTTTTTACTCTAGATTTAAAAAGCAACCCTGTGTAGGATTTCTGAGGAGCAGCTGGTGGGTTTGAACTGCAGACCTTGTGGTTTGTAGTCCAGTGCTGATCCTACAGCACCACACCAAGAGTCCTTCGAATAATTAGAAGTGTTCAAAATGAAATAGCAAACACCAGTTAGAAGAGTGAAATTGATTCATTTAAATGTTCGAGAAAAACTAACAGAATGTAGAATAGAAAATTTATCAGATTAATGGATGGATAATAATGATTAGATTTTGAAACATAAATATTTGACAGATCTATAAAATAAGAACTGTTGTTGTTAACTGTCGCTGAGTCTGTTCCAACTCATAGCAACTGAGTACAACAGGAGAAAATATTGCCTGGTTCAGTACCATCCTCAAACCTTCCTATATTTGAGTCTGTTTTTGAAGCCATTATACCAATCCATCTCCCTGAGGATCTTCCACTTTTTCAGTTCGCCTCTACTTTACCAAGCATGAGGTCCCTCTTCAGGGACTCGACCCTCCAGGTAACATGTCCAAAGAACTTGAGATGAAATCTTGCCGTCATTGCTTCTAAGGAACATTCTGGGTATATTTTCTTCCAAGGAAGATTTGTTCATTCTTCTGGAAGTACATGTTATATTCAATACTTTTTGCCAGCACCATAATTCAAAGGCAGGCATTAAGTTCTTCTCTGGTCTTCTTTACTCATGGTCCGGCTGTAGTATGCATATGAGGTGATGGAAAATACCATGGTTTGGGGTCAAGAACATCTTAATCCTCAAAGTGACATTTTTGCTTTTTAACACTTTAAAAGTCTTTTACAGCAGATTTACCCAATGTAATAACACACTGTTTTACTTTTTGTCTGCTGTTTCCATGGGCATTGATTATGGATCCAAGTAAAATGAAATCCTTGCAAAATTCAATCTTTTCTCCATTTATCATGGTGTTGCTTTTTAGTGCAGTTGTGAGGATTTTTGTCTTATTTATGATGAAGTGTAATGTATAGTGAAGGTTGTAGTTTTTAATCATATCAGTAAGGACATCTTTGCTTTCAGCAATCAAAGAAGCATCATCTGCATGTCTCAAGTTGTTAATGAATCTTTCTCCAAACCTGATGCCATGTTCTTCTTCGTATAAGTCAGCTTCTCAGAGTATGTGCTCAGCAAACAGATTAAATGAGTATGGTTAAAGCACACAATTTGACACACACCTTTCCTGATTTTAAACAACAAAGTATTCACTTGTTCAATTCTAACAACTGTCTCTTGCGAATTATGTACAAATTCTGCATGAGCACAATTAAGGGTGCTGGAATTCTCATTTTGTGAAGTTGTACATAACTTGTTATGATCCACACAGTAAATGTCTCTGCACAGTCAATAAAACACAAGTAAACATCTTTCTGGTAGTCTCCTCTTTCAGTCAAGATCCATCTGACATCAGCAATGACAGCTAGTTCCATGTCTTCTTCTGAATCTGGCTTGAATTTCTGGCAGTGCCCTGTGGATGTACTGCTGCAATTGTTTTTGAACTATCTTCAGCAACATTTTACTTGCTTGTGATATAAGTGTTCAATAATTTCCACATTCCACTGAACCACCTTTTCTTTGGAATGGACACAAATATGGATCTCTTCCAGTTAGTTGGCCAGGTAGCTGTTTTCCAAATTTCTTGGTATAAACAAGTGAATGCTTGCCAGTGTTGTATACATTTGTTGAAACATCTCAACTGGTATTCCTTCAATTCCTGGACCCTTGTTTCCACCAAAGCCTTCAGTACAGTGTGGATGTCTTCCATCAGTCCCACTGGTTCTTGTTCAAGGGCTATCTTTTGAAATGGTTGAACACTGACAAATTCTTTTTGGTACAGGGATTCTGTGTATGCCTTCCATTTTCTTTTGATGTTTCCTGTGTTGTTCAATTTTGAGCCCACGGGATTGTTCAATATTGCCAGCAGCTGGTTTTATGACCCTGAGTCAGTGATTTTAATACTTTGAGCTCTTTTCCCCCATCTGCATGATTTCTAAAATCCTCTCCAGCTTCTGAGGTTCTACAACTCTTCCGTCAGAAACTGCTCATCTTCTTCCCCCTCGCTTTCAGTTTTAGTGCCAACATAGAAACTGAGAGAAGTGATCATGGCCATCCAGAACAGCCAGGAAAGCTTCAGAGAGATATGGAACTGGACCTGAAAGGATACTGAAACTCAGAAAGGCAAAGGGGAAGACAGTGGGAGAAGAAGAAAGGTAGGCGAGAGAGAGGAAGTGGGGGTGGGGGTGTGGAGAATCGTGCTCAATTAAGTAAATCTATTTCCCACTCCCTCCTTGGGGCAGTCCTTGCTGTCTGAAAACTAATGCCCCCTTGTGGTTAGGAGGGGCCATGTAACCAGCTGGTTGTTAAGTGTAGTGGAGTCAGTTGCAACCATGTTGTTGTCATTGTTATTAGGTGCCATCAAGTCGGTACCGACTCATAGCGACCTTATGTACAGCAGAACGAAACACTACCCGATCCTGGGTCAACCTCACTACTGTTGCCAACTTGAGTCCATCAATGCCGCCCACCTGGCCAATCCATCTCGTTGGGGGTCTTCCTCTTTTTCTCTGACCCTCCACCTTACCAAACAGGATATCGTTCTCAAGCAACTGGTCCCTCTTGACAATATGTCCAAACTATGAGGAGACAAAGTTAGGCCATCTTGGCCTCCAAGGAGCACTCTGGCTGCACTTCTTCCAAAACATATCTATTGGTTCTTTTGACAACCCATGGCAAATTTCAATAATCTCCTCCAACACCAAAACTCAAAAGCATCAATTCCTCTATGGTCTTCCTTATTCACTGTCCAGCTTTCATACGCATATGAGGTTATTGAAAACACCATGGCTTGGGTCAGGCGCACCTTAGTCTTCAAGCTGACATCTTTACTCTTCAACACTTTAAAAAGGTCTTGTGCAGCAGATTTGCCTAATGCAATACATCGTTTGATTTCTTGAGTGCTGCTTCCTTGAGTGTTGACAGTTGATCCAAGAAGAATGAAGTCCTTGACTATGAGGGTTGGAAATGCAAAGGTAGAAGTTTTGTAACAAGGAAGGGAGTGATTAATTCTCCAGGATAGGAGCGGAGACCTCTGGGACCATCAACAGAGAAGAGCCGAGAGCGGGACCCTACCCAGAGAAACAGAGATGCCTAAGATGGAGGCAGAGATGATGACGCAGAGTGATGAAGCGACTGGGGACTTTGGACCCAGAGAAGGAAAGGGACTGTGGGACGAAAACTGGGGGGAGGAGGGGGAAGTGTAGGGGGCAGGTTTCTGGGATATACCCTTTAGGTGGTTGATGATGCATGGAGGGGATTGGAACCATGGCAATGAGATGATATATGATGGAATGAATGTAAAACTAAAGTTCCCCCATGTAAACTATCATATAATTCACAATAAAACATTAAAAAAAAAAAAAAGAAAGAAACAGAAACTCAATGGAATTGACTAATGATTCAACATAGGAATTGTGTTTTAAAGATCATAGATCAGAAATGCTAGAAATAAACCCATACATCAATGGTCAATTGATCTTCAACAGTAGTGCCAAGATATTCAATAAGGAAAGAACAGTCTCTTCGACAAAGGGTACTTGGGCAACTGGATATCTACATGCAAAAGAATAAAATTGGACCCCTACCTCATACTATATTAAAAATTAATTTACAATCAATCAATGACCTAAATTCAAGAGCTAAACTATAAAATTATTGGCTGAAAACATAAGTGTACATTTTTTTTTAACTTTTTATTGTGAATTAGTGAAGAAGGTTCATCAAATCATAAACTTCTTTTCATCACAATGATTGCAATCCCCTTCATGCAACAACAGCTATCCTTCCTTCCTGTGGTTCTAATTTCTATTTCATGCTCCTTCCCAACCCTTCTGACTTTATCCTTAGGTACTTCTTGCTCTTTTAATCTTGAACAAAGGTTGGGCATTTCATGGTGAAAAAAAAAAAAAAGAATGAAGTCCTTAACAACTTCAATCTTTTCTCCGTTGATCAGAATGTTGTTTATTGGTCCAGTGGTGAGGATTTTTGTTTCCTTGACATTGAGATGCAATCCATACCGAAGGCTGTGCTCTTTGATCTTCATCAGGTGCAACCATAGCGACCCTGTCTAGGGTTTCCAAGGAGTGACTGGTGAGCTTGAACTACCATCCTTGCGGTTTAAACCAAATTTGCAGTCCAGCGCATTAACCCACAGCACCACACCAGGACTACTCTTTGACATGAGGAGAGACTTAATGTCACTTCCACGCTGAGAATTACTGTCCTGTAAAGATTCTGCAGAGCTCCCATTTTTTCTCCTCTGGCAGAACAACCAGCAATTTTCTAAATGGATCACTATCATAGCCAAGCCTCCCTGACAACAACAATGGCATATAGCTCAAGAGGAAAACAAACCGTTGCTTAAGCTACCAAGACGTTTGTTTGCTGCTGTGGTCTAACTAAGTTCCTCAACACACCCAAAGGGAAGACCTGAAGCTAATAAGAAAATGTGCCTCCACCTTCTTTTCAACCTCAAAGTCTTCTAAGCTAACTTGAAACAGACAAAATGTCTATGCATAACTATTCAGAGGCTGGTTCATTTCTAACTTTTCAGGCTGTTCTTCAATCCCTTATCCTTTCAAAATTACAAAACTGGAACTGTATTAAGGCATAAAAACTTTGAGAAAGGGATGAAGTGAGACCATGTCTAAACTGGGGTAAACATTCTCCTCTGCATGTGCCCGTTGGTACCAAGAACCGAGGTCAAATTTAACATTTAGAGATGATATTTCAGAGATGCAGAGGTAGAAAGAAGCTTAAACAGAAACACTCTTAGACTTACAGTTTGTGCTTCCCTTAGGTTAACTCTTTGCTTTGGTCTAAAGAAAACCTTGTTTTTTCTTCTAGATTCAAATACTCCTCTTTTGAAGATCATCACTGCCATCTGCCTCGGAAAGAAGAGTTATATATAAAGAAACAATGGCATGCACTTCCCAAGAACTAATATTAAGTACTTAATCAACTACAGAGTGCTGTAAATTTATGTCATGAAATTTTTATACCTTTATCGTGGCCTCTCTATAAGATCTTGTAGATTCCTCCTGTGATTGTAAGGAACTCATTAACTCCAGTTGTCTTAACTCATCAATTTTAGCTAAGGCACGCCGAGCAAATGACTAAATGGGATTAAAATCAATTTAATTCATAATAAGTTAGAGAATAGTAATTAAAAATATATAAAGACAGTATGTTTTATCCACCCAGACATTTGATTTAATCAGTAAATGAGACTCTCGGCTGATATTAACTGCTTGGAGCACAGTAGCTATCCAGTGTGTCATTTCTTATGAGCGCTAGTACATTCTGCACAGCTAGTTAATAATCTGTCAGCTGGACTGTGAACCACAAAGTTGGTGGTTCAAACCTACCAGCTGCTCTTTGGAAACCCTATACAGGGTCACTATGAGTCAGAACCAACTCGATGGCACTTCACAACAACAACAATGCCAACTCAGTGACTTTAGAAATTCAAAAAATGCAAGGAAATCAGAGTTCTGGGTGAAATAGTACCTTAATAAATAAGATGTTTGCTAAACTTTCTTTTGTTCATATTGTCTGCTAAACTGTGAGGTTCCACAAAGGCCTTATTATACATTACTATATTACTACCCATTAAACCACCAACTGGGCTGCAAACCACAAGGTCAGCAGTCAAAACTACCAGCTGTTCCACAAGAGAAAGATGGG